CCAGAATTTTCGAAGATGAATCACAGTGAAGCGGAGAAGTGCTCTTGTGTTTAGTGGTGTGTTGTTTTTTTTTAAACTGTATATAAAAAGAATCTGTGGTTCTATTTTGAAAATTCAGGTCTTCCCAACCAATAAGGTTTTATGGCTCCTGAAGATCTAGTGAAATTGTGATATAAAACAAGAGGGAAAGCTAAACAAGTAAGATTGGAAGGCCTTTTTGGTCAGATTGTTCAAAAGTTTGTTTTTTAACCGCTGTTAACCTCCAGTGCCTAATGAGCATTTGGGACAAAATCTTTAAAGATTCAACACCCCCATCCTTTCAGCTACAGTTTAGAGCTCACATCATCTTGGTTAACTCCAATGAAGACCACCAGACAAAACCAGTGAAGGCCAGGATTAATATTTCTATCTCCTAAGGTAAAACAAGGGGGGGAAATCACCTTTTTAGAACATCCTTTTCAAGCATGGCTTTTTTTAAAAATCCTTTACAGGTCACCTTTAAGTATTGACTAGGCAGTAGTAATTACATTTAATTGTCTTCAGTAGGGACTTTTTTGTTATCCTGGGCTTCTAAGTAAGATTTTTTTTTTTTCCTTGACCAATTTGAGAATTTATTTTTCTTCAGTTTAAAGGACTGTAGTCACTCAAATTCAGAATGATCAAGAACACAATCTAGTACAGGGTCCTCAACCTTTTTCTTTCCGAGGTGCCCCCCAACATGGTATAAAAACTCCACGGAACGTGTGTGTGTGTGGCTCTGAGCTTCAGCTGTGGGGGTGGGGCTTCTGCCCCAAGGGGCTGGGTGGGGCTCAGGAGAGTGGGGGACTCGGGGCTTCTGCCCCTGGGGGTGGAGGGCTCTGGACTTCAGCTGCACAGGGGGGCTTCTGCCCCATGGAGCTGGGAGGGGCTCAGGAGCCCTGTGGGAGGGAGTTTCTTGAGACTTTTGCCCTGCAGGGCGAGGGACTCGGGGTTTCTGCCATTTTGGGTGGGGAGATGGCTCAGGGCTTCAGCCTTGCGGGGCGACTTCTGCCGGGTTTTGGAGTGCTGGGTTTTGGGGCAGCTTCTGCATGGACGTCGGGGCTTCAGCCCTGTGGGGCGGCTTCTACCGGGGCTCAGAGCACCATGGCTTGTGGCTTTTGTCCTGTGGGGTGGCTTTTGCCCCGTGGTTCAGAGCGCCAGGGCTTGTGGCTTCAGCCCCAAGATGTGACTGGGCACTGGGCTTCTGCCTCGGGGAAGGTGCTGGGGCTCAGGGCTTCAGCCACAGGACAGGGGACTCGAGGCTTTATGAGAATTTTCTTTGAGGCAGGAAAGAAAACATGGCACATTTGTGGCAGGTTACCATCACTGTTTCATTTCTGGCAATCTTTAAATAGCACATAGTGCTGAACCCGGAAGGAAATCATTTCCAAACTTCCTCTGAATTTCCTTCCTTCCTGTAAGCTGTCTATTGGTGGCTTTTGATTTTGTGTAAAAAGTGACCCTTTATACGAACTGTACCTGCTTAGCTCAGCTCTTTCCCTCACCACCAGGGAGTGATTAACCTCTCAGACTTCACATAGTGGAGCTGATCGAAGCTGTAAGGGGTGGCCAACCTGAGCCTGAGAAGGAGCCAGAATTTACCAATGTATGTTGCCAAAGAGCCACAGTATTATGTAATGATTATATACGTGTGTGTGTGTGTGTGTGTGTGTGTATAGATATATATACACCCACATAATCATTATATAATTTGATAATGTATATTTATTATGCATTTATAATGTATAGTTAACCATAACAATAACTTGTCTTAACGTTTTACTTAGTGGGACTTCTGGCAATCTTTGCTTTCAACAATTCCCTTGAAATTTGGTTTGTGTTCAGTTGTGCTCACACGCAGCAGTTCTTAAGTGGCTGTCTGTCAAAACGGATTGGTGCTTGGATTTCACGTGTTTGAGTGTCGAGAAAACAGACTCATAAAGATAGGTCGAGGCAAACATTGGATTAATTTTAGGGCCACACTTCTGATGTTGGGGTATTTATCCTTTGGTACAGATTTCCAGAAAGTAAGGGTCCCTCTGTGTCTTCTGGGCAGATTTCAATCTGTCATTTTCCAAAAGTTCTATTATTTCCAACTGGGATGTTGCTTTGTCAGTGACTAAAGGGATCTTCGGACAATTGGCTTCAGCACTAAAAGGGTCAATCAGAAATATGATTTGAGGTCTTTTTTCCACTGCAAATCTTGGAATCTTTCCTCAAAACTGTCCTTAAGATCTTTAATCATGCTCGCATATCTAGTTTGTGCTCCGTTTTAGGGGTTCTGCTGCATCTTCTTTTGATCTGGCTGGAAGTTGTGATATTGAGGGAAAGTTTCAGCTCTCCTTCAAGCATTTGTCTGTGAAACAACTGCAGTTTGTTCATGAACGCAAATACACTTTGCACTAGATCAGACGGCAACCGGAATTTTCCTTGTAAGTCCACGTTTAGTTTATCCAACTGCAGCAGCATGTCTGCAAGAAATGCCAAGTCTAGAACCCACCTAGGATCTGTAAGCCCAGAGTATATTCTGTGCTTCTTCATAAACAATTTTACTGGTTCCAGAAGCTCAAAAAACCAGGAAATAACTTTACCTCTCGAGAGCCATCGAACTGCTCAGTGATATGGCAAATTGGCAGGGAAGTTGTCTTCATCCAGTTCTTTGATTAGATTTTGAAATTGTCTGTTTGAGTGAATGAAATTCACAATGTGCAAGACAGGTTTCATTACGTGATCAAATTTGAGATTTTTAGATATCCGTTGCTCCCGATGAATAATACAGTGAAATGTCCAAAATTCAGGAAAGCTCTCATCAGACTTACAAAGCCCTACTAATCCATTCACAGATCTTCACATGGATGGAGCCCCGTCTGTTGCAATGGCAGTGAGCTTCTGTAAAGGGAAGTGGTGTTTCGCAACTAACAACATCAATGCTTCCTTTGGATCTCGTCCACGAGTTTTGTCCTTTAGTGGGACGATATCGAGGAGTTCTTACAACACAGTCATCAGACACAGTCCGGACAAATATCGATAATTGAGGTTTATCCTGTACATCGCACAACTCATCCAAAGCGATGCTCAAATACTCACTGCTGAAGTTGCAAGTGCAGTTGCAATTTGATGTCACTGTTCAGGTTGGAGATTCTGCGTTCTATTGTGTGGTGTAACAGCTGCAGGCCAGAAATTTTCTTCTGTAGATTCTCGTTCTTTGGTGACAGGATTGAAATCACATCAGTGAGGCACATTTTTATAAACTCGCCTTCAGAATAGTGCTTTTCAAAGTTTTCAGTTTTAAAATGCAGCGTTCAGAACTTTCTGGGAATTCTTGATCCATATGTGCATGGCTAGAAGCAAACTTGCAGCGTCATTTCGAAGATTTGAACTGAGAGATACGCGTCTGGCAAAGAAGACATATGGCCTTATGAGAATAAGTACATTACTTTCAACGAAAATGTACTTATTCTCCCACTCTTGTTAGAAGCCTCGATTTTCATCTGTGTATTTTCTTTTCCGTTTGCACTTGCCTTCCATTGTTAGATAGCATAAGAAAAACTTTGATTAAAAATTTCCACACCAGCTAGTCACTGTGTACTTTTATTCAAGGAGACACAGACTCTGGCCAGGGGTTGCTGGACCCTTGGCTCTGCCCCAGGCCCCTCCTCCTACTCCACCCCTTTCACCAAATCCCCACCCTGCCTCGTCCCACCTCATTCCGCCCCCTCCCCAAGTGAGCTGTGTCCTCGCTCCTCCTCCTCTCCCTCCCAGAGCCTTTTGCCAGCAGAGAACAGCTGATCGGGGTGGGCAGCAGGCAAGGGGACTGAGGAGGAGGCGCTGGAGGGGGGAGGAGGGGTCTGCGCACCGGGTCCTCGCTCCTTCCTCCCACCCACTGCATTGAGGCAACTCGGGGGGTAGGGGGAGGAGTGAGGACGCAGCCCCCAGCCCTCCTTCCTCCCAGAGTTGCTTCCAATGCTGCAAAACAGCTGATTGTGGCGGGAGGTGCTGGAGGAGGGAAGGGGGCTGGGCGCCATGTCCTCGCTCCTCCCCCTCCCTCCCAGAGCCACCTCAATGCTGCGAAACAGCTGATCGTGGTGGGCAGGAGGGAGGAACAGGTGCTGATTTGGGGCGGGGAGGCAGGAGGCACTGGGGGAGGGGCGGGGAGCTGATGGGGCTGCCGGTGGGTGCTGAGCACCCACCATTTTCCCTCCTCCCCCCAGAGTTGGTTCCTGGAAGGAGCTGCATATTGTCTTTTGAAGAGCCACATGCAGCTCCGGAAGTGTTGGTTGGCCACCCCTGGGTTAGAGCCTCAAGTCCTTCACCAGTTCGAATCCTAATTTCATATTGTCTTATCCAGCATAATGGGAGTTCTCTTCCACTTACAGCCTTGTGGAGAAGAAGCTATTTTGTAGAACCATGGTGGAAAATAAACATTAATCATTTTTAGCTGCACATAGTGGGGAGAAGTTTTTAGGTTAGGCTTTTGGGGACTCTCTTGTTTAGTAAAGGTTTGCTTTTTGAAAAGGGCATCTAAATGATAGGGAATCAGACTTGAAAACAACCAGTTTTTTGAGGTGGAGAGTGGACACAGTATGACTTTCCACTTGATGACCATTTTGTAGAGAAGTTCCACAGCTTAATTACACAATGGTTTTTCTCCCTGTTTGCAGCTAGCTGGAAGCAGAACCAGACCTGTCAGTCAAGGCAGGTTGGGTGGGATCACACTACTGAAGATCCAAGCAGCTTTAGACAGTTGCCTCCAGACCATCTTCTCAGAACAACAGCAAAACAAAGCAAAAAATCAAAATCAACCTACTTGTTCTTGTCATTTGGTAATTTGGGTGTGTTGTTTTTTTAGGTCACTCAATATGAGCTATGGAAAGACACTGCTCAATTTCTTATGTTGTAACAGCAATTAAATGTTTTTTATTATAGAAGTGGAAATTTAAATTAAAACTTTTCTATTAAAGATAGCGTCTTTTCATTCTCAGGTTCGATGGATGATGTACTGGATTGTGTTTGCTCTTTATACAGTTACTGAGACAGTAGCAGACCTAATGATCTCTTGGTAAGATTTTGCATAATATGGAACATGGGATGATATAATTTTTTTCTGATGATTTAATTCAGAGAAGATAATACAATTACCAACCTGTATTTATAAGTGACGTTTCCAAGAACGGCTGTAAGGAACTTGCATAATGAATAGTGTCCCCCATTTCTAAATTTGTGGTGCCTTTTAATTCCTTAAAGAGTAGGAATAGACAAATGCTACCCATGCAGTAAAGCACAAGAGAAGAGAATGGAGTTGTAAAACTCATGCAAAAGAAAACTGGTGTCTTAAATAAAATAGTATAATGCAAGAAAACATGGAAAGATTTTTTTAAATCTCTTAGCCTTTCTGCTTTTGATGGTATTACATTAAATGAAAACCAAATAAGTCAATGAAACAGATATTCATCTATTAAATAGTTAATTTTTAATCAATATAGATGTTATTAACCTTAGATGAAAAGATAGTGTAACATTTTGTTGTAAAAAATGTGTAACCAGTTTGTTTTTTTGCAAAGCTTTGTTTTTGGTAGTTAATTAACATCTACCTTCTTATAGTACTTGCATAATGTTTTATCTGCAGGTTTCCATTGTATTATGAGTTGAAGATTGCTTTTGTTATTTGGCTGCTCTCTCCATATACTAGAGGGGCAAGTTTAATGTATAGGAAGTTTCTCCATCCTCTTCTTTCTTCAAAGGAACGGGTAAGAAATGATTATTTTCAAAGTTTGGCATTAAATGCAAGAATTAAATATTTTTTGTGCTTAAAACGTTAATACATTAACTGAGGCCATGTCTACACTACCACGTATGCCAGCAAAACTTATGTCGCTTAGGTGAAAAAACAGCTCCCTGAATGACAAGTTTCACTGGCATAAGTGGTAGCTTGCACAGCACTTCTCCCGCCAACATAACTACCGCTTCCCATTAAGGGTGGTTTAATTATGTTGACAGGAGAGCTCTCTCCTGTTGGCATAGAGCGGCTACATGAGAGAGCTTATAGTGGTGCAGCTGCATCGGTACAGCTGTCCTGCTGTAAGGTCTTTAGTGTAGACATAGCCTAATACACTTAATATAAGTTGAAATATAAAAATATTTTACCTTCAAGTCTTCCATCCAAATTTTGATGATAAAATAATGCTATGGGGTAATACAAATTCATGACTTTCAGGGATTTTGTTTGCAAATTTAAATATGTATTCTGTTTTGTTTTTTAGGAGATCGATGAGTATATTGTACAAGCCAAAGAACGAGGTTATGAAACTATGGTGAATTTTGGGAGACAGGGTTTAAATTTGGCAGCTACTGCTGCAGTGACTGCTGCTGCAAAGGTAAATTTCACTTACACTAAACTGTTCAGGGTAAATATTATGGACAAAAAAGCAAAGTGGTGTTGGGTATTTACCCATCTTAACTCAAAGAATTCATTCTAAAAGTAACATGTTTAAAAATAGGGGGATGTTATTTAAGGATTGCAATTTTGTGAGTATTTTTATACCATGTTAGTTTTAAAATGAATAGCATGTAAATTTTTGGATAATGGATATCAGTTGAGTGGTAAATTAAAATATAGACTACAATGTTATGTTCAAGCTACTAGTGAAAGATCAACATTCTTTTTTTCTGTCTTTGTTGCATTTTCTTGCTGGTAATCACACTGTTTACAGGATTTCTGGCTTCTTTCTGCTGTCTTCCTTCAATCAAGTTGAGGTAACTACATCTGCAAAATAAGGCATGAAATATTACTACCACAGATAAAAGCTGTTTTATGTGATTAATTCCTAGTTTGTGATTTCAGATCAAATTTTTAAAGTAATGCACTACATGAAAGCTTGCATCATAGTTGTCTGATCTGCATATTCTTGCTCTGAGTAGTGTTTTTATATGAAATCGTAGAGCTGAATAAAATGCAATGTCATTTTAATAACTTGTACATATTCATGGTTGCCTGCAACTTAACTGAAATTAATGAAGGGGGTTTCCCAAAATATTTGATTGAAAAGCCACTAATGAAGTCAACCAAGAAAGCTCTCAACCTACAATTAGTGAAATAAGTCTGGAAACAACTTGTACGCTTGAAAGATGTGTTTTGATTAACATAGAAGATTGAAGAGGTTGAACTGACTAGTATAGTTTAATCTTTACTAAAGATTAATTGGGCTTTTGGATCCAATGAAGAAAATTTAACAGACTTCCATAAAAGGAATATTTTCACATTTTAAAGACATCTGTCTTTTTTTTTATTTTTTTATTAATAACATCTCAGATAGGATGTCCCAGATTGTTCAGATTTTGATATTTCTCTTGACAACAATGTAAGCAGTTTCACTTTCTGGTTTTCATACACTAGTGCATGTTGCACTGTTTGGGATGTTCAGACACTACACGGAATATGTTTTAAAGTTTCCATTGGAATATTAATTACAAAACATTTTTCTTGGTCTGAAATGTAAAATGTTATATCTATAAACCTAAATATTCACCTGTATCATTAAGATGTGATAAATTGATTCAGCAGTCTCTGGTGTGATGCCAGTCAGCCCAGCAAAAAACTAGCCTGTTGCTGTCCCAACATCTAACACACCTTACGTCTTATTACCTAAATATAACTTATAATACAAATAAAATTGGTGAATACTGTAATTCATACTATTGTAGAGTTTGTATAAACAGCTGTCTACCTTTTAAAATGTTATAATTAAAAAAAAAAATTCTTTTGTGTAAAGATTTATTTTTAAACAAGACTTGGAAAAAATATCCAAACTTTTATTTTCTAAGGCTCCTTAATTCTTTAAAAGTGAGATTTTTCTGCCTGAGTGGTGCTTCAAAAGATCATTGTAATTATAAAGAAAAGTGCATGGTGAGCTTATGTTTGGTGGACATCTGTTTCATATTGGTGGTGGTTGGTTGTTTTTTCTCATGTATTAATCATTTAAAGTTATTAATGCTACATGCCTGAAGCCATAACCATTTTAAACAAAATATATTCCTATGGTAGTATGCCCTAAATATCAGAGTGGGAATGGGGGGCTGGGAGAGAATATCAAAAGTAGCCATTTTTAACTAATGTGAACTCCTTCTTTTTAAAAGAAGGCTATTATTGCAGTTTGAGGAGAACACTCCTATTTTAATTTGCCACACTGTGCACTCTGAAAAGATAAAATGACCACCTGCAGTATTATACTATTACTTTGTGGTCATTTCCATCCCTACAGTATCTGGCTGGCCGGCCATGATTACATCACAATGATATACTTCTGGCTGGCCACGAATATTCAAAGATACAGAATTTGAAGTTACATTGAGACCCAACTATTCCTTTCTTTCTGCGGTAACAAATAGTTTCTTCCTTAGTGTCAGTGAAGTTTGAATTTCAAAGCCATTCAGCTGTGAATGGAAGGATACTTATTCTATTTGTAAGTTGTTATGCATCCTCATGAATATCTGTACAATTAATCCAGTGCAATAAGTTGCTTGGGAAAAACGACAGTCATAGTACCAAAGACATTAAGATATCAATATGATTGTAAAGAGTGCGCAGAGAGAGAGGAAGAGCTCCCTGCAACTCTTAAACTATATTGTTAATATCAGAAATTCTCTCTTTAATGTGCTATGCCAATCCAAAAGCTTGGGTGTAATTCCTTTGTGCTAGCACTTGGAGACTGCACATATGTTCTTTCTGGTGATTTCATTCCTTGTGTATATAAAGGGCTTGCTAGCTTGCCCAAGTCAGTTGTTCCTGCCTCCAACAAGTGAAGAGAACAATACCTTTAATAGCTGACACTGAAGAATGAGGCTTGCAGTTCCAGAAATTCTTTTACAACTGGGACAACCCACACTGTGTAGTTTTCCACATGTATACCCAGGGTGTTACAGATGGCCTTGAGCCTGCCTGTCTCTCTGCCTTGGTGAACTTCCTGTGATGGATTTAGTATATCTGCCTCCCAGCATCTACCCAGGGTGATCCCCAGAGGAGGATGTTAGGATAGTTGCACTTGGCTGGTAAATGAGAATACCTTTTCTCAAGGAGTCAGGAGAATCATGTGGACAACAATTTCTGTTAAAGGGGGTGCTTCCCTCAGGGCAAATCAACAAAGGTAGAGTCTACTTTTGAAGAGAGATCTTCAGTACTTATGGCTCCATCACTCTAGTATCTGAACACCTAACAATCTTCCATGTATTCACCCTCACAGTATCATGTGAGGTTGGAAATTACTAATATCCCATTTTATAGATGGGGAACTGAGGCACAGAGAGATAAGTGACTTGCCCAAGGTCACGCAGGGAGATCATTTTGAATTATCTGGCCAAGCTTTTGAAATGGCTATCTACACGTTTTATCCTGCTAGAGGAAAACTCAGATACATTTGAGAGGGCTGAACAGTCAAAGTTGATTCAGAGGCTGCTATGATCAGTCTCTGCAGTTTCATCTTTGTCAGACTTTACATACATCATTAGGACCATGTTGAGAACCATAGTGGCCTTCATAACAGTGGAAAGGCTTCTTTGGCTGAAGCAGTGGTTAGCTGATCAGACATTCAAGGCCAGATTGGTCAGTTAACCTTTCAGTAGGGCTGCTTTTGGTGGAAAAACTCCAGCAGCCAAAGCCTTTCATAGATAAGGGGAACATAAGGCTGCTGCATCACAGGCACCTCCTCCTTCTGTTCTCAGTATTAATCGCAGCCTAATGGGATAGGGCTTACAGTGGAAAAAGTATCACCCAGAGAAAACGTTTTTTCCTGAAAATGAGGCCTTTAATTGCTTTTGCCCCAAGGAAGAGCTTAGACCACACAACTACTTGTTCCATCTTAAGTAAACAACATGAAGGTATACTTAGGCATGCACCAACAGTGTTAACCACCATCAGCTAACAAGTTTTTAAACATCACTGTTTGTTTACAATTGGTGCTAATTGATGTTTCAAACACCATTAATTAACCTGCATTAGCTAACACAAATTAAAACACAGTCAATTTTCTTAGTCTAAAATGTGCCCTTGGTCAGATTTTTGTGAAGTTAGTCTATGTGCAGTGACAACATGCTTTTTGCCAAAGCATGTCAACTACAGTATTTAAAAATATGATGATATCTGAGAGGCTGTTCTGAAATTACTTAGACTTGTGTGTGGGGAATGGATTGTGATATTGAACCCAAAGCCTTGCCTGCACCTCTCTTTTTGGATTTGGAATCATAAAATGTTATGACTGTGTGACACCTTAAGAAACTAATTAAAACAAAAACAGAAGCATGGGTTAATATGTGCAGCAGTGCACTATGGTGAGGGAGCCCTAAATACACTGCTTGTATTTTAATCTTTTATTTAGTGAGTATGTTTGGTGTCCCAGGTATTCAGTGATTTCACAGCTGTGTAGTTAACCCTTCATGTGGAATTGTGCTTCAAAAATCTTTATTCATTTAAAAGAGAATTTTAATCTTTAAGATAGCCTTGAAAACATGTGCAGTGTAAACTGATGCAGCAGTATTTGCCTGTGTCTGTAGAGAGTCTGCAACAGTACCTGTGAGAGATGTGAACTACTCCATTCATCTCAATCAGGAGCTCATGGATTCTGAAATTGCAGAATTTGGCATTTTTCCAAGATACCATGGACTTCACACTGCAGCACTTTTACTGTGGAATACATCAATTTGCTGCAGATAAAATTTTGCTTTGTTTCCGTGGCCTGCCAGTATTTGCCTGCAGCTGCCTCTTCCTCTCCAACTTTCCACATAATGGGGAGTTAATTACAGTATATTCTCCCTGCAGTGTTCCATGGAGCCAAGCACCAGGGAGTCAGAGAGCCAGAACTAGGGAGCAGGAGGAGTCAGAGGTGAAGACAGGCAAACGGGAAAAGCCTAGAAAACAGCACAGCAGCAGATGCTCAGGGAACTCAGCTCCTGGAGCTGGTTAAAGGATTCCTGTTGCCTTTGAATACATTAGTGGAAGGATGATCTTAACCAGGCCACTGTTACAAAATCATGTGGTCTGAGACCTGAGGAGGGGTGTTATGCTTTTTGGGCAGCGTAGTGGGAAGTACCATGCTGGAAAATAATAGCTGATAATTTGTTAAACTCTCAGTAAAGTCAGAGGAGTGAGGAGTGTGTGAAGTTGAGAATTGGATTTAAGGGTATTTCATCCTGTAGTAAACTAATATTCCTGTGGAAATTCGAGCTGCAGAGTGAGAAAAGTCTTGATCCTGATGAATGCATCATTTAAAAGATATTTTTCTATTAAGTATCTTTCATCATTTTGTGACCCTTAAATTCTAGTCATTAGAAGTGGCTTTTTTGACTGACATTTTGGGTTCCATTGTATGATGTTATGAAGAATAATATTGGTCTGCTAGATGGTCTGCCACGGAATTGTTTCTTCAGTAGCTCCTTCATTACTGTTCATTAGCAGCAGCGCCTAGAGGCCCCAGTCAGGATAGGGACCTGTTGCACTGCACACAGTGAACATGTGTAGAAAGTCACAATCACTGCTCTCCAATAGTATATGAAAGTTATTCCAGTTTCATCCTCTGTGTTCCGTAAAATGTAATTAAGGATGTGCAAGACCTTTTCGTTTAAAAAAAAAAAAAAAGATTTCCAATGTTTTATTTGCTATCTGCATAACAAAGTTGATTGACTTTTTCAATCTTGGAGGGTATATATGGGATGAAAGAGCCCTGATGGAACCATTCTGTATCATCTTTTATATGCACATTGAATGAGGCAGTGCTCCACAAGAGCCCTTGCCTCACTGAGTGCACAGCTTTCATAGGACATAGCATTACCCTCCTCTCTGCCAAACACTTCTACTTTTTCTATGTTCTCTTGAAAACAAACTTAAAAGTTCTATCCAAAATCTACACTGAAGAATATAGCTGCACAGTAGATTACTAAAATTGGGAAACATTAAATACTAGGATTGCAACTCTAATTCTTCTCTGTGCATGTGCATTACAGTAGTCCATTTCATTGTCAGATATATTATATTAGTTCCACAGAAATAATTAGGTAATGCTCAGTGAAAGAGTTAGATTGTAAACGGGTGTTCATGTGGGTCTGTTCTTCATTTTGGGTCCCTCGCTGAAAAGATTGGGTATTGTGTAGTGATTGAAGCTGGGGTGTACTTATTGATCAATGATAAAAATATATCTCCTTTGCCTCATTCACTGCATGCAGATTGTATTGCAATGCACAGACACAACAGTGACCCGAGGCAAAACACACTACTGTGTATGTAGGACAAAAGTATAGTATCTTATCAGCATGTTTATTGATTGATCTTCTATTTTTAAATACTTTGGAGAAACAAGTATGTGTACATCTTAATTAAAATTACCAAAATATATTACATAAAGGGCTATTACTACTACGTTCAGATGTTTGAAAAGTGGTACTAGGTGATACAGTGTCTGATGGATCAGGCATTAAAGGCTTTTTTGGGGAAAATCTCTTCAATCCACCTAGAATAAGGAATAAATAAATCAGAAAGAAATATAAGCAGTGTCCAAAAGCATTAGGAATTGGAACTACTAACTTAATTCATGATTTTTAAAAATTCCTTTTACAAGGTATAATCTAATGTTAAGCTTGAACAAAATGCTCCTTGTCACAGTTCTCAGGGTAACTGCACCTCTGACCCCTTTGTGGCCTCCTTCAGGGTACCCCACTAGGCATCAGGCCTCTAGCCATCATGTTTCTCAGGGCAGAGTCCCACAATTCTCTGTGTCTAGACTGGGGATTTAGGCTGCAATTCTTTAATTCACTGTGATCATCTCAGCAAGTCTGAATTTAGTTTTAGCACTTAGTCCTGTTCTCTCAGGGGCAACTAGAGTTAATCTGTGACCAGCCAACCTTCGTAAAGCAAAGTATTTATTTGGAACAAAAGCATTGTAGAGAACACATCTTAAAAACAACAAACTGCTTACATGCATGTCTGGTTTACCAGGTGTCACCTATCTTCCACATGGGGACCTTCGCAGATTTTAAAGTACTTCAGGTCCTCTCAGAGGGCCTGCCCCTCTGGGCCCAGTCTGAAGTCTGTCACTTGGATCAAGGGGAATGACCTCTCTCCCCATGTTAAGGTGGTGACATGTATAGTTTTTTTGTTCTTTCTTTGACAGCCTGTTTAATGAGGTCATGCCAGTATATATGATCTTCTCAGAGGGTAAAGCTTCTCCAGACTTGTTCCTTGTCTAAGGATTTGCAGGAAGCTCCTGTAACTTTCCAGTGGAGCCAGAATACAATCCCATAAAGACACATGTAACATTTATAAAGTTGATAGTCTTGAATATTCCATGTGTCCATGGTATGTCAGAGTATTTACATAAGGAAAAAACACAAACATGAATGCTGCTTAAAACAAATGAACATCTACTGCATGTCTCTGTTAAGAGAATTTTGTAATACAGCAAGAAAGCATGTACTTAACCTTACCTCAGTTTGAAGAGCAAATCTAAAGGCTTCTCCATTTGTTCTTGAAAAGTGCTATTATTGTGTTCCAGGGTCAAGGTGCAATAACTGAACGGTTGAGAAGTTTCAGTATGCATGACTTAACAGCTATTCAAGGAGATGAGCCAGTGGGACAAAGACCCTATCAGACTTTACCTGAAACCAAAAAGAAAACCAAGAGTTCTGTCAGTGAGTCTCTGGGTATGTATCTTGTTAAAGTTTTGGGCTACTCATGTTGTAGTTAAATTCTGATATGTAAAAGCCAGGAAGTGGAAAAAGCAAGAACTTTTTTTATTCTCTTAAATATTGGTGGTGGAAAAAACCCCAATCTCTTCCTGCAAATTTGAATAGATTTGGCTTGATACATAACATTTTCAACTAGGATTATATCCATCATAACTGAGGTTCTGAACTGGTGGTTCTTGGTGGTTCTTTTCCCTTCATGGCTCTACTGGGTGAGATAGCAAATAGATTATCCTCGTATCTATCTTGTTGAGTCTGTGGTTTGTGTTGCTAACTAAAACAATAATGCTGAAGTGCAAGTCAGATTTATTGGATGTGACCCATAATTGTCACTGTTGGTGTCATGGAACATGTGAAAAGTTGTGGCAATTAAGTAAATTGGAAGAGAACAAACTAATGAAAAAAGGGTGAATGTAACAGGCTTTTTAAAAAGGTGGCAAAGTTACTGGTTAAAAGGTGAACATGCTTGTAGCAACAAAAATAACTTTAGTCCATTGAGGAGTTGTCATGGGAAAATTAAAATTTGGGAGTGAAGAATAGTACTTGGTGACACAGCACAGAAACTGAAATGCCATATGTTATGTGCAAATGCACAAGTTAACAGGTGGTTCTCCAGAATTTTTTGATACTGTAGATTAAACAGTAAAGTTTCTGGAAGGTATCTCAACTTCCATTATTAATGAATAGCGCTTATGAATCTCTGTGCTACTTTAAAGAAAATGAAAAATTTCCGAAGGATAGACACCATCCTTTATAGCTAAGGCTAAGTTTTTGTCATGGATATTTTTAATAAAAGTCATGGACAGGTCACAGGCAATAAACAGAAATTCTCAGAAGCCTTGACCTGTCCCTGACTTTCACTAAAAATATCCCTGACGAAAGGGGTTTGGCACCCACTGCTGCTGGGGCTCCCGGGTCCCCCACCACTGCAGTGTATGAAGGCTCCGGGATCCCCTGCCTGCAGGGCTGGGCTGCTGCGGAGTCCCCTTGCCCCCGGGGCAGCTGGGAGCTGCAGGTTCCCCCTGTTGCGGCCAGGCAAATGCAGGGGGTCCCCCCACTGCATGCTGGGCAGCTGCAGGGGGGTCCCCACCAGGGTGGAGGGTGGCTGGGAGCTCCAGCCCCAGGGCAGAAAATGTCACAGAGGTCAATGGAAGTCATGGATTCCATGAGTTCGTGATATAATCGTAGCCTTACTTATAGCTGAAGTTCTGACTAAAATTATAATCTAGCTGCTGCCTCTTACAAAGGAATAGTTCTGCTTTATTTTCCTCCTTTCTGTTTCATTAAGTCAGGGGTAGTTAATAGGTGGACTGTGGGCCAAATCCTGACTGCCAGACGCTTTTGAATGGACCCCGAAATCTTTTCATTTACTTATCACTAGTGTTGGTTTATTATTATTTATTATTTTCTCTGGAGCCTGGACCTTGACTATACCTTTGACCAAGAAATTTGGACCTTGACAAAAAATAATTGACTACCTCTGATTTAAGTATTGAAAAGCCGAAGGTAAGTCTTACATAAAAAATGGCTTCCATTATTTATATAATAATCATACAGGGCATTTCCTGGGGATAAATAGCTATCTGGAGGAGGTGATGACCTTAACTTGAGCTGAGGATTAATTCCCAGGAAGTGCCCGGCATAGAGACCATCACGTCAATAAGATATGAGAGTTGGGCAGTGGAAAAGCCTATAAATTCCTATTGTATGTGTACATATGGTTGTATTATAGGTGATGCAGCTGCTATGTGCGTGGTGTTTCTAGATAACTAATACATTATATGTACATTGGTCCTGCTAGTGAAGGCAGGGGGCTGGACTTGATGACCTTTCAAGGTCCCTTCCAGTTCTGTGAGATAGGTATATCTCCATATATTTATTTTATTTAATAACAGACACAGACCTCCCCAGCCTCCGTCTAATCAAGGCCAGGGCTCAGTGAGGCAGTCCTCTGGTTCCAGGCATGCCTTTTTGATGGTGTGCCTGCAGGCAATGCACCAGTCCAGTCACCGGATCCTTCTCCCTGTTTTCTGAACAGTCTATCCCACTTGTATCCTGCGTGGGCCCAGATAACCTCAGAACGCTGGGTTCTCCGTACAGTAGTTGTGGGATAGTCTCTCCAATTCTGCTCCTCCCCTCCCTCCCATCCCTTTCCCCTGTTCCTCGTCAGGGACTCTTCTCACAAGCAGCTTCTCATGCAGGAGGTGTAAATGCTCTGTCTCAGGAGCGGTAGAGGAGGTCCTTCAGGGCCTATGGGGCAAGGATTTTTACTCCTGATATTTCCTGAACCCCAAAGCCAAAGGGGGTCTCAGACCCATACTCGACAGATTCATGAAGGAACAGAAGTTCCGCATGATCTCTTTGGCCACCATCATCCCCTCCCGGATCCGGGCGACTGGTACGCCACCCTTGACTTGAAGGACACATCATCTGGATCGATCGGTCTTCAACTGTTGTTAAGACTGCGCCGATCACAACACGTCCGCCATTCTTCTCGCATTCTTGCCTTTCTTCTCCACGTTCGTCCGAAACATTTAACGATGTCATCTTCCCATCTTCTTGGAGGCCGACCAGGTGGTCTCTCCTGTTCTCGCGGGTACCACTCAGTAATGATTGCAGTCCACCTATTGTCCGTGAGCCCTGCTATGTGGCCCGCCCATCATATCTTATTATATCTGCTTTCCATGACAATATCTTTCACACCGCTGCGTTCTCCAGTCATTTCATTTGGGATACGATCCAGAAGGGAAATTCCCAACGTAGTTCGTTCCATTGCCCTTTCAGCTACTGACAGCCGCTGTTCTTCTTTCTTTGTCAGTGCCCACGTTTCACTGCCATACAGCATGGCTGGCAGCACTGTTGAATTGAAGATATTTGTATGCGTGGTCTTGTCGATTTTTCCTTTGAGGACGTCCTTGATGGAATTAAACGCACACCATCCTGCCCGAATCCTTCGCAAGAGTTCTCCGTTCACGTCTTGGCGCATATTAATTTCTTGGCCCAAATATATGTACTGTTCCACTTCTTAAATTTCTTCTCCTGTTACCATTATTCAGGCTTTTCGTAAGAGGTCTGATTGCATGTATTTCATTTTGCAGCAGTTCATTTTCAGACTGACCTGACTGCTTTTCTTGTCGAGTCTTCGTAGCATGCTCCGCAGTTGGTTGGTGCTTTCGGCAATTAGTACGATGTCGTCTGCGAATCTGAGATGAGATAATCGTTCTCCATTTATGTTAACAGCACTCCTCCAATTGATCTTGTTCATAACCATTTCGAGGCAGGCAGTAAATAGTTTCGGTGAAATCGTATCTCCTTGCTTTACGCCTTTCTCGATTGGGATGCGGAGGGGAGTTTCGAGGAGAGTAATGTCTGTTGTACATCCAGTATTTGCTTCCTTCAACAGACTGATGTACTGCATGTTAATACCCTGCTCTGCGAGTGCCTTTAATAAGGGTTGAACTCAATGCTATTGAAGGCCTTTTCATAGTCGACGAAAGCAATGCACAACGGGAGTTTGTATTCCCTCGCTCTTTCTAGGAGCAGGCTAAGGGTAAATATATGGTCGATCGTGCTGAAATTTCTTCGAAAGCCTGCCTGCTGTCTAGGCTGTTGTTCATCCAGACTCTGCGAGAGTTGGTTCATTATCACCTTTTGTAAAGAGTTTATAGATATGAGAGAACAGGCATATAGGGTGATAGTTCTTAAGATTTTCTCGATTTTCTCCCCCCACCCCCGTACAGCAAGATGGTATTCGACTTCTTCCAGCTTGATGGTATTTTTACTTCTTCGAGATATCGACTGAATCTTAAAGCGAGGGCCTTCCAAAGTTTTTCGCCTCCTGCGGAAATCATTTCTGACGTTATTCCATCTTTGCCTGAAGCTTTTCCCTTCTTCATCTGGTGTAGTGCACTTCGGACTTCGCTGACGATTATTGGGGGGACGCGTTCTTCTGACTCTTGGAGCGTTGGGAGAGGGACGTTTGATTCTTGATTTGAACAGTTGTGTATAGAAGTCCTTGCAGACCTCCTCCATCCCTGCTCTGTCAATTACTGTCTGTCCATCCTTGTTCTTCAATGCTGTTACGCTCAATCTATACTGTGCCAATTCCCGCTTGCATGTCCTGAGGCTCTTGCGTGATTCAGCTGTTTTAAGGAGCTTTTCTTTCCGGAAGTTCTCAGTCATCCTTCAGTTTTCGCCGTATAAGCTTGCACAGAATGGAGTACTTGAGGTAGTTATCTGAGCTCCTTTTCATATTTCTCCGCTTCTCTAACAAGCTTTTCGTTTCGTTCGAGACTCTTCCCTTTGCCTTCTTCATCTTTTCAATTTCAGCTGCTTTTATGCAACATCTCAGCTTGTCAGCAAAGATACTATAGTCCTCATCACACTTTTCTGTCTGGCTCCAGTCAAACCCAGAAATCGTTTTTTTCAGCTTTGCTTCATTGAATGTCTTCAGGCGCTGTTTCCTGTTTGCCATCTGTAAAGCTTTCTTTTCCACTACTTTGTCGAAAATCAACTTCGCTCTAAGCAGGCGATGGTCACTGCCGGTGTTGAAGGGCTGCACCACAGAGACGTCTATTTCATTCTTACTCAGGAGGACACATACTTGCGCATCAATAGTCCCATCCCACAGACTGTTTCCCAGGTTCGTAGTGAATCACAACCATTACCAGTTTACAGTCCTTCCCTTCAGCCTGTCAGCAGCCCCTCAGGTGTTCACCAAATGCATGACAGTCGTGGCCGCCTACCTGAGAAGATGGCAGGTGTTCCCATGTCTCGTCGACTGGCTTGTCAAGGGCCGCTCCAGGGCTCAAGTAAAGGCACATGTACATCTGATACAATCGACCTTCGACTGTTTGGGTCTATTGCTGGATGTGCCCAAGTACACTCTATCTCCAAACCAGAGGATAGAGTTTATAGGAGCAGTCCTAGACTCCACCCAAGCCAGGGCGTTCCTGTCAGAGTTGCGCTTTCATGTGCCCCATCATAGAGGAGACTCAACGTTTTCCCCATCATGACGGCACTGAACTGCTTGAAGCTGCTCGCTAACGCGGCCGCTTGCACATATGTAGTCCAGCATGCAAGGCTCTGGCTCAGACCCCTTCAGGCCTGGCTGGCTTCAGTATGCCGTCCAAGCTGGGAGAGCTTGGACAAGGTAGTCTCGCTTCCTCCTCAGGTTGTCAAATCCCTCCATTGGTGGCTCAACCCTCAGGCAGTTGTGCAGGAGTGTCCTTCTTCAGGTGGCAACCATCGATGTTGCTGGTCACGGATGTGTCAATGTTGGGGTGGGGTGTGCATCTTGGGGCCCTAAGGATTCAAGGCCTCTGGTCCCAAGCAGAACTCTCACTCCATATCCATGTCAGAGAGCTGAGGGCAGTTCGCTTAGCCTGTCAAACCTTCCAATCCCACCTGGAGGGCAGGTGTGTATCAGTAATGACAGACAATACAACAATGATGTTTGTTTTAGATAAACACACAGGGTGGAGCGCTCTCCTCCCTTATACCAGGAAGCCCTCAAACTGTGAGACTTCTGCATAGGTCACTCAATACACCTAGAGTCGTCGTACCTTCTGGCATCCTAGAATGAGCTGGCGGACCACCTCAGCAGATCCTTCCATGGCCACGAGTGGTTGGTTCACCTGGACATTGTGAACAGCATCTTCCAATGGTGGGGAATTCCCCAGGTGGACCTGTTCGTGATGAAATTGAACAGGAAGTGTCAGCAGTTTTGCTCCTTCATGAATCTCAGCCCAGGCTCGAATGCAGACACATTTCTCCTTCCCTGGAAGGACCATCTGTTCTATGCATCTCCCCCCCCCCCCCCCGGCCCTTCCCGCTCGTTCACAAGGTCCTGCTCCAGGTCAGAAGGGACAGAGGGACAGCATCAGTCATCCTGATAGCACCGGCCTGGCCCTGTCAACACTGGTACACAACACTCCTGGAACTGTCAGTAGCCACTCTGATCGCCCTGCCATAGGTGCCAGACCTCATCACTCAAGACCACAGTTGCCTTCAGCATCCTGACCTTGAGTTTCTCCACCTCACAGCATGGAAGCTTCCTGGCTAAACCACATGGAGTTGGCATGCTCCGCATCTGTCAGGGAGGTCCTACTTGGCAGCCGAAAGCTGTCTACTAGAGCTACTTAGCCAAGTGGAAGAGCTTTTCAATTTGTGTGACACAGAAGGGCACATCTCCGATTCAAGCATCAATACCCTTCATCTTGGACTATCTGTTGCACTTGAAGCACTCAGGTCTGGTGGTGTCATCCTTAAAGGTTCACCTGGCGGCCATCTCGGCATTCCACCCAGGGTGGACGGTCGATCAGTCTTTGCTAGAACGATGGTAGGTCATTTTCTCAAGGGCCTAGATAGGTTATACCCTCCAGTCTTCCATCCGTTATCAGCATGGGACCTTAACTTGGTGCTCTCCCAGATTAATGGGACCTCCCTTCGAGCCCTTAGCAACATGCTCGCTCCTGGACCTCCTTATGGAAAGTAGCATTCCTGATAGCAATAACTTCAGCCAGGAGGGTGTCTGAGCTCAAGGCCTTGACATCCAAGCCTCCATATATGGTCTTCTGTAAAGACAAGGTCTAGTTGCGGCCTCATCCAGCCTTCCTGCCAAAATTGGTATCTCAGTTTCACACAAGTCATGACCTCTTCCTCCCAGTATTTTTATCTTAAAGCCACATGCCTACAGCTGGGAACAAAGGCTCCTCTCTCTGGATGTCAGGCAGGCACTGGCTTTCTATGTTGAAAAAACAAAAATTCCGAAAGTCTGATCAGCTCTTTGTCACTACAGTGGACAGGATGAAGGGTCTCCCTGTATCATCCCAAAGAATTTCATCATGGATCACGTCCTGCATTCGAGCTTGTTAAGTCCTGGCGAAAGTGCCAGTCCCAGCTCTAACAGCGCATTCCACAAAGGCGCAGGCCTCCTCGGCCGCATTCCTGGCATAAATCTCTATACAGGAGATTTGCAGGGCAGCAACCTGGTCGTCAATCCACACGTTCACTTTGCATTATGCCATCATCCAGCATGCCAGGGATGATGCAGCTTTCGGCAGAGTGGCGCTTCAATCAGCGAATCCATGAGCTCCGATGACTGACTCCTCCGACAGTCTGCTTGGGAGCCACCTACTTGGAATCGACATGAAGCAGCACTCGAAGAAAAATGGTAACTTATCTTTTTGTAACTGTTATTCTTTGAGATGTGTTGCTCATGTCCATTCCAAGACCCACCCGCCTTCCCCTCTGTTGAAGCCTCCGGCAAGAAGGAACTGAGGAGGCAGCAGTTCGGCAGGGACCTATATACGGCGCCATGAAGGCGTGACTCCAGAGGGCATCTAAGCCGACCTGACTGGTACCGCTAGGGGAAAAACCTTCCGACGACTGTGCACACGGCACACACACACCTACTTGAAATGGATATTGGCAACACATCTCAAAGAACAACAGTTACTCTTGGTAACTGTTTTTTTCTGATAGTTAAATAATTTATTTTATATTTTTGACTATTAGTTCTTCAAGTTCTATCGTAGCCCTTCTACCTTCCATCTTGTATTTTGCCTGCCATAGTTTATGCTGCTTTCTATTGGCTTTATTAGGACTGCATTTTCATTTTCTTAAGGATACCTGTCTGTCTTGAATAATCTCTGGAACCTTGTCATTTAACCATGGTGGGTTTTCTCTATTCAGGACGTGCTACGTAAAGGATATTTTTTATCTGAAAATTGAAATAGCCCATTTAAAAGTGTGTCCCTTTTCAAACCGCAATAAAAAAATCTGATTTGAAACTTCAAGTATTACTTAAAAGGCAGGTCTGTACTTGCCATGTGTGTGCAGTATTTGGTGTTAATCCCAAACTGCAATGGCTCAAGAAAGAACTCCTCCAGGAAAACAGCAAATGGTAGCAGGGTGGCTTTGATCTTCACTATATAAACAATTACACTGCCAGTAGAGACAACTTAAAGGAAATCACTGTATCATGGCCAGCATAATTTTAAGGATTACATGGCATGGGCCAATGAATGGCTTTTGCACTGCCTGACATTTTTATAGTGTACTATTGTTTGCTCTCCTATCTTGAAACAGATGGCAATTGATGGATTTTCCACAAAGAAATCATAGCTACATTTTAGATAAGTAAAGAATGTACTTGTTAAAATGGACTAAATTTTCATGTTTTTTCAGCAAAATTCAATAAATTAAAAAGCTTTTATAGCATCTAATGAGTTAAGAAACCGCTTTAACTTTCCTGAATTTCATCATTTGCACTGTCTCTACAAATACTTTGTTTGTGCTACCACTATTTATACAGACTTATGGCATACAAACTTCTGCCTGATGTGCTTTATTTTAGGTTACAGAATTCCATTGAAAAAAGATTCTGGAGATGATAAAACAGATGAGGAAATGGAGGGGACACATTCAGAAGATGAGATGTTTGCTCAGAGGGGTCTCCGACGATCACAAAGCATGAAATCTGTGAAAAGTATTAAAGGCCGTAAAGAGGCAAGTGCAGCGTTTAATTTGAAAGTATTGCATTCCATTAATAACAATGTAATTTGAAAACATAATAGTCCAAGAAATCAGAATATTTTATTTATAAAGGACATAGGGTGGTTCTAAATTGTAAGTGGAATGTGGAACACAGCATGTGTAGTTATGGTCCAAAAAGCCGCCACTCATTTTTCTGTCTTCTAAAGGGAAACAAGAGAAGAATAGTTAACTATACAAGACAAAGGGAAACAAACATACTGAAGATATAAATATAATTGAATAAAAGAATAAAAGAAATTAAGCTTTTTACCCTCTGAGCACTGTCTCCCAAATGTGTACTTATCACAGTAATGGTGAAACAACAGGCCCAGAGTCTAGAAACAGCTTGAAGGGAGGGAGCTGACTGTCATGACATCTCATTTGAGGTGTGGCTGATGCAACCCCGCACTATGCATACAGGGATCCTATAAGGGATAGGACCATTCACATTTTTGTTGTATCCTATGGATACTTTGAACAAGTGCTAATAAATACTGTGCTTTGATTTATAACGCAAAGAGGAAAAAAGCTCCTATGCCGGGCTCTACACGCTTTTCATACGGATTTAAAGATACAACATGAGAACCAGGAGCATCATCAAACAAATCACAAATCAACAATACTGCAACATAAACACACATGGCAGTCCTCTTCACAACATTTCTGCCCGTCAGAAGTCTGGGTTTTTCAGCACATTCTGAAGGTCAACAAATTTTGGCCTGTTCTAGATGCAAATGGAGGTGGGAAACAGGGCCGGCTCTAGGCACCAGCAAAACAAGCTGGTGCTTGGGGCGGCACATTTTTAGGGGCGGCATTCTGGCGCCGGCCGTGCCGCCCCTAAAAATGTGCCCTGGCCGCCCTAGCTCACCTCCGTTTCGCGCGCCGCTGCTCCCCCTCCCTCCCAGGCTTGAGAGCCTGGGGGGAGGAGGCAGGGCTGGGGATTTGGGGAAGGGGCGGAGTTGAGGCGGGGCCTGGGGTGGGGTAATTAAAAAACGGGGGGGCAAAATTGTTTTTGCTTTGGGCGGCAAAAATCCTAGAGCCGGCCCTGGTGGGAAAGAGAGTAGCTTTCTAAGCAGAAGGCCACTCATGAAGAAGGCCCGGCTGACAGCTCCTTCTCATGCTCAAGCACCTTTAACTGGAGCTGTACAGGACAATAAGGGGAAAGGCAGTCTTTCTTATGCACATCCCAGGTAATTTAGGGCTTTGTCACTCAAAACATCACTCTAAATTCTGTCTGGAAATCAAGATGCAGTCAGAGCAGATCCTAGAGTATTGGTGTCGTGTTTCCAAATACCTTTTTACCAAATGAGTTGTTATGGACTATGCCATTTTACATTTCAGCTTCTGCATTTATTTAAGGTGAAGCTCCAAGTAAAGCCTGCTGCAATAATCTGAGTTGGAGGTGACAGATGCATGGGTGGTAGCAGCAGGGTCTTTATACAAAAGAAATGACTCCATGTTTCAAGCCAGCTGTAGCTGAAATAAAGCTATTCTTGCTACTGGATGGCTATGTAACATCAGCTGGGAGTCCAGCAGTATCACCAGGCAATGAATTTTAATATTAGATGGCCAGTACACAATCCCAAGTAAGAGGGTATATATTTTGGTTACTTCTCCAACCTGCCAATATCTTGGTCTTGCTGACTTTCAATCAGCTAGCCCTCTATGCCCCAACCTCTGCCTAACCTTCGGTAAGGTGTGTGATAGCATTGGTGGGATCAGGCGAGATAAACAGCTGGGTATTAGCATCCTGTCTCCTCAGACAATTTCCTAGTAACTATATAGATAGATAGATAGTACAAAACAAAACTATGCAGAATCCCACACGAGGCTGCCGGGCAGAAGGGCACATTCTGTAAACCACTCTCTGGGAGTTTCATGACTGCTGTAAGATCTTAACAAGTAACATGTTCAGTCCCTGTCATGATAGCTGGATGAATTTATTGAATCTAGTCCTGTATCGAGTGGTCTAATCCTATATAATACACCTCTACCCCAATATAACGCTGTCCTCGGGAGCCAAAAAATCTTACTGCGTTATAGGTGAAACCGCGTTATATCGAACTTGCTTTGATCCGCCGGAGCGCTGCTTTACCGCGTTATATCCGAATTCATGTTATATCGGGTCGCGTTATATCAGGGTAGAGGTGTACCTGGTTGTGGCAACTGAATTGAAATATGCTGAAGTTGAATCATAAAAAATGTTGTTGTTTTTTAAAAATCACCTTTTTGTCTTGGTAATTTTTATGCAACTTAAATGGCAACACTTGATTTCTAACACAACTTTCTCTTTCAGATACGGTATGGCTCATTAAAATATAAAGTAAAGAAGAGGCCTGCGGTGTATTTTTAAGTGTACTACACTTTAAAGACAAACTGCTGTACTACAGTAACTTTACTTGGCACATCATGTGTTCAGGATTTGTGTATATATAAAAACTTTAAGCATGGTTGTAGGACTCATTTTTATCAGTCTAAACAGCTATATAAGATGCTTCTAATCTTTAATGGCTTATCATTTTGATTTGATTGTTAAATCTGGCTAGGAAAAATCCTAGGTTTCTGCACTCATTAAACTTAGTAAGAATTTAATGAATGACAAAAACAAAGCCTGATTTTCAAAGGTACTGAACAGCTGCAAATTCCATTAACATCAGTTGAACTTGGTGTTATTCAGCTCTTACAAAACTTAAGCCCCTAGTGTTTCCTAGTTTACAATGCAAAAATATGTATACTTGAATTTTTTTCTAAACCAGGTTTCCTGAAAAAGCTTTCATAATTATATAATAATGTACAGTTTTAGAGGACAGTTGAATGAAGGTGGGGAAAGGAAAAAGGAAAAGCCAGTTATATTTGGTATGTCCTTAAAAGAACTTCCTGCACCTTATTTCCTAATATTTTAAATATTAATAGGTGTACTTTGATATCTGTACAACAGTTTTGCATACTTGTACAGTTGTAAAACAGTAAACATGTAATGTTAGTGATTTAAAAAAAAATCAGGTTTCACCAATGTATTTTTAAATGGCAGCAATTTAATCCTTGTATTACCACATCTTACTCTTGGCTACTTAAGCACATGGAAGATGCTATAGATAACTGCTACTAACCTTTACAGAATTTTGTCAGGTACCTTTTGTATTTTAGGGGGAGTATTCTTTCTCCAGCACATTCAGATGTAAAGTGACTTATGACTAATAGCCAGTTCTCAATTCTAAATTGTGGTAGATACAAATTTGCAGCAACTGCTAGATATCGAGGACCTGATCAATTTATCAGTTGTGTGGTACAACTGCCATTGAAATGAATGGGAGTAATGAAGTCACATTTGATGGACTGTTCAAGTCCTAGATTATAGGTTTTTGCTAAGGCTTATTTTATAATATTATATTTCAGAATAGCTTTAGATATCAAACTTGAGTTCTGACCAATAATTAAAATTTATACTTTCGTTTCATTATTCCTGAAGTAGTTATTAAGATATTTGTGTATAAATAGCTCTTTTCAAGACTGTCTTCTCGCTGATTCAGTCAGCAATGCTCTAACCCAATTGACATCATGATTTTATTTAATTTTAAAAATCCTTTATACAAATATCTCTGTAGCCAATAGGGATGGAAGGAAAATACTATGTTTAAAAATTAAATGGAATTTAAAATGTATTGAGTGTTGACAGAAGTGTCACTCTCAATTTAAAGGACGGTATGTCATAGGATCACTTCCAAAAACTTTCTGCCCTGCAAACCTTCTCTCAGATATGAGAGAATATAGCAAGTAGAGACTGCAAGAGGGCAGTAAAAGCACGTTTCCTTCTGGAACCCCCCCATTCAGTAGCAACCCCCTCTACTGGCCCAGTGCAGCCCACTGACAGACTTTTAAGTCTTGTTTTAGCTAGAATTTTTCTTATTCCTACTGTTACTGCCAACAGAGCAGCTCCATTAGTGGGAGCATCTTTTGGGGCAGCTGCTGGCATTCTAACCACAGTGTCATGTAGATCATCTCTAAGCAGAGTTAAATGACAGTTGAAAATGAGGGCTGGTTTACATTAGCATTACATCACTGGGGCTGCAACTGTAGGAATTTAGGTGAAATTACTGCAGACATGGCTTTATAGACAAGAGTGACAATACTGATGGGAACAGTGGGAGTATTGTGCAAAGGGAGTTTCGGAAGCACATTAGTACCAGTTACATTCCATAAGGGACTAAAAGGGCTAAGATTGACACAGCTTTACTAAAAGATTCAGTGACATACCAGATGACAGCCACCCTCTCCCAAATGAGTATAGTACCATTGATGCCAGTGTCATGCTACCAAATAGAACTGAGGTTACTCGTCCCAATCTTATAACGGTAAAGTCTCTTTCCTTACATACTTGGGCAACAGCTTTTGTTAGAGAGTTCTGCCATTCTGTTCTACTTAGGTTCGTATACCATGCCTATTGCCATGGTATCTGAGCACCATTGGGTGGGCTTTGTGTCCTTCGCTGCCTATTAGACTTAGACTTAAATTATGTATCAGGGACCTTTTGATTTCCTTTTGACCACCTTCCTAAATCCTTTGTCTCTCTGTCAGCCTAGTCTAGCTAACATAGTAGCCTTTGTTTTCATAATTCAGTTGATCTAATACCAGGCCCAAACTTTCAGTATGCTGCATATTTTTGTATTGAAAACCTATAACTGTTGTGGCATGTTAAGGCTCAGCTCCCCACGCTGCCCCTCTTCAGTTGGTAGAAGTGCTCCTAGTGAAGGTGCACACCACTGACAGAAGGAGGGTAGTGTGGACATCAGCCACCACAGTAATTACTTCTATGTTAAGTTGACCGGTGGCTGTAAGTCGACTTAAGTCTGTAGTGCAGACATGCCCCAAGTAACTCATTGTGCTGTGCTGCTGAACAGAAGCCAGTTGTCTGCATTCCCGGTTTTCCAGTGTGTGAGTTCTGGGAATTAAATTCTCCTGGAAGGGGATGAGAATTACAGGATGGGGAATGCTGGCAACCTTAGCCCCATGTTAATGATGGTATTGGCATACTGTCCTATCTAATTTTAATTGCTTCAGACTGTTTCCTATCAGACTGTTTTTCAATCTAATAGCTCTTACTATCTAGTCATTCCTGACAGCCTATGCTTTTCTCTGTTAAATTAATCTTCATTTTTAATCGTGACTTAATGGTAAATTTCTCACTCTCCTTGAGCTTACACTCCTCAAAAGTGTAGCTCGTTGTGTCCTGTTAGTCATTGTTTAACCAAACTATGCCTATTTATTGGCTGTCCTCTTATCATGCTAGATAAACTTAGTCAACCAATTATCTGAAATATTGTGCAGTCTTTCAAACATTGTGGTGGAGTATCTTGAGGATTTGACTTGAGCAATGGTGAAGATGATCTGTTTAGTTCTAGCTATTAGATTTCTCAAAAAATGTTAAATAAAAATGTAAGTCCACTTCTGAGGAAATTAGCACTTTATTCTATCAGTATGCAAATTAAAATATAACCCAAATATGGTATAAATAAGAGCATTTTCAGGGAACTCTGAACTTGTCTGCCATCTACAGTATTTGTAATGTTAGTTACTTAAAGACAATTTATGCAAGTTTTGTAAACCAAATGAAACAAGATTAGTCAGAGAAGCAAGATACGTTTTGGAAAATGTTTGAACTTTGTATTAATGTTTAACGGATTCAGCTTGGCCACATGTACAAACACCAACAGAAATCTAAAGAGTGAACCATTAATAAGCATCTTTGAAAAGAAACTTAATGCAAACCATGAAAGCAAAGCAACTACCAGTGTTGACCATTTTATTTCAGTTACTTCCCTGCCTCTCAGGTGACCTGATGTTATCTTGAACACCTCACAGACATTAATGAATTTAAGTTGATGAGCACTATAGGAAAAACTGAAAAATGTGGTTTACAGAATGACAAAGTAAGTGTTAAAGTATTTAGCAGTGATTTCATGACGATGCATTTTATATTTTTTATGTTAATTTTATCAGTTGGGACTTCAGTATTTTTTTTAAATATTTTTTCTGTAAAGGATGCATGTTTGTGAAAGGAATATTGTAACATTTTCAAGAACTCGCATTCTGCAATGCTACAAGAACCCCAAAATTAGTCTGCATTGAGACTAAAGATAGTAGCTTTAAAAATCATGAAATAAAAGCTTTAACTTTTCTTATTGTAATATTAAACTACTGTCAACTTGTTTACATATTTGTATTGTAGAGAGCTTTTTAAACATTTTGTATCCACTTCTCTTGAAATCCTTTTGTAAATGCTACTTTCTGAGCAGGATGCAGTGTGTATGTAATTACCATAAGTATGACTTTTTAAAACAATGTAAAATAAACAGCAGACTTACTAGAAACTAACTTGTTTTGTACTTTATTATAAATTCCTCATCTGAAACAGCACACTAACTGTAGGGAGCTCCTTAAATAATGTTTGATGTGTGGTTAAATTGTCACTAAATATTTTTGGAGTGCCTGATTTGAGAGAGACAGGAAGCTATTGTGTGCATAAAAGCTTGTTGTTCCATTAACATTGACTTGAAATAGGTAAAACATCATTAAGTGTGTAAACAAAATGAATGGAGTTATCTGATGAGGAAATGTCAGGTTTTTTTGTTTTTTGGTTTTTTTTTGTTTTTTGAAAACTGCAAGTCTACCCAGATATTCTATCAATTAGGATATTCAGGTGGATTTTTTTAATTAAACATGTCATTTTAACTAACATACTTAAAGCCTTTCATTCCTACTCCTTTTTCTTTTGAAGCTGCTTTTATGCAGGAGCACCATTTATGGAGGGGGGCACTTGCCCCCCAAGTTTTATTTCCTATCCCATAATTTTACATGCAGATTCAGAAGTCACAGATCTGCCAACTTCCTCGGACAGCATACTCCTCTCCCTCACATACTAGGGTATAAGGAGGCACATGAAGAGCTAGGTGACTCCAGGCAGTGCCCCAACCTCACCTTCCCCAGGCAGCTTTTATGGCTGCAGTTGCCTGGTGGGAAGCGGCGCTGGGATGCAGCTGCAGCACATTTCCTCCTGTGCTGCCCTTGCCATGGCTCTGTGAGGCCAGGCCTGTTGGCCCGTGGGGAGTTGAGCAAGTTGAGCTTTGTCTGGCCCTGCTCGGTTCCAGCTGCAGGTAGGCAGCTCGAGCCATGCATCTGGAGCCTCTGGGGAAAGAGGCCACTTGATGTACACACAGGACCATTATACCTTAAGGAGTCTCTGAGAAACATAGCAGTCTGGCCAGCGGTGCGGTCGAGGGGCGTCTCTCTGCTTGGCTCAGTACACAGAGAGCCTGGTACTTTGCAGCCAAGCCAGCTTTGCACTTGTGGAAGCACCTCTGTCAACCCAGGCACAGGGTTCCTGGGGTTCTCCAGCTGCCGTCGGGCTGGGCCCTGGTGTCTCTGGGTGAAGAGACCTATGTGGGGCTCCAATTGCTCTCATGCTCCCTATGACCCGGCTGTCCCCATCCCTCATTCAGCGGTGTCTGTATGATGCACTTGAGGTGCCAATGCAGTATCTCCCAGGTACACCAGCTCAGTGTACTCATCCTTGGCCTCCTTGTGATGGCTAGAAACTGCTGAACCTCTCTAGTGTTTGGGAGGCTCTTAGCACCTCCTGACTTCCCAGTCTATGTCTAGGCATCACCACAACTTTCTAAGCAGGATAGTTAGGGAACTGATCCCAGCCGGCTGGCATCAGTCAGATGGGACTAGAAAGGGGGAATTAGGGATGGCCCTGAAATTGGCAGGTTGGTGTGTAATGTGGAGAGTCCCTAATATGCCCTACTCAATGAGGTGCATAAATCACCTTCCCCTAAGACTGCTACCAATATCTTTGGTAGGATGTCAGTTAAAAATTCACAGGTAGTCTAGTCTCCATATATATTGTAGGTTGGTTTAAATAACTTTGTATACCAAACCTAATATTAACAAATGTTTATACACACACACACACACACACACTAGCAAAGCTGTTTTTTGTTCCCATTCAGACATTCTCCATGTCATGTTGCAACTCGAAATTATAGTATTGTGAAAGAACTAGATGATAGATACATAAACAGGACCCTCCAGCATGGAGGAGGGGCTCTAAGATCTGTTTTCTCTGGGGACTGGGAGGGGGAGGGAGGCAGAAAAGCAGATGGATGGAGGACCCCAGTCCTGGTGGGTGGTGAAGAGAGCAGAGTTTTGGGATCCCAGGGTCCTAGTACTGCAGGGAGGGGAACCCCAAGGCTGGAGAGTAGAAAGGCAAGGAGGATCCTGAGGCAGGGGAGTGATAAGGGCTGGCCTTGGCCTGGAGGTGACAGTGGAGGACCCCACCCAGTGCTGGGAGAGGGGAGAAAGGGCAGTGGAAGAGAGAGGTGTGGGGCACTGGGGAGGACACCAGTGGGCTACAGATGATGGAGACTACTGGCTGGCACTCACCTGTGCTAGGGTGCCCCCTGTGCTGGGGGAGGATCCTGCTGGAAAAGGAAGGGTCTGTCTGAAGCAGAAGGGAAGGGTCAGGGTCAGCCTGGGTCAGCCTACCCTGGCACGAGTGGTTGGGGGGCACTAGGACCCTGCAGTGGCAGGCGACGCTGGGAGCTGGCGGAGTGGAGCGGAGCAGGCTGGGGCTAGGCTGCTCGCTGCTGCTCCCACAGAGACTGAGCCCAAGGGGCTGCGGGCAAGAAAAAGAAATAAACGCCCGGGCTGGTGACTGCAGGGCTTGGGCCCAACCTCTGCTGCTGGCAGAAGGACCCTCACTAGGCCCCGGGGCTGCCCTGTCGTGTCGGCGCCCTTCCCCACCCCCCGGTGTCTCCCTGAAGCATGGGGCCTATGATGGTTGTCCTGGTCTACCCTATGGACGTGACAGCTCTGGCTCTAGGACTTATTTTGGGGAAGTTCTAGGGCCTCTGTTATACAGGAGGTCAGTCTAGATCACAATGATCTCTTTTGGTCTTGGAATCTATGAATCTCAGTTCTTATCAATGTTCTGCCCCTTCAATTGTTTAGTGTCTGTCCCAATATTGCGCTGCAACTGGTTAAGGAAGTACTATGTACAGAGAAGTAGATGGGCTCAGTGTAGCTGATAAGGTGCAATAATACCAGTGTGCGCTTCAGAACAACGGTTCTGTTCCCAACAAACTACTTTCTTTTTCTTCCCTACAAATTACAGCTGGGATCACTGGATTTAGATCTGCAAGGAACTGGGACGGTGCAGAGGGCTAGGGGAGCAGAAGAGGATTGGATTGCATTTCCCCTCTCCCAAGCAAAATATGGGAATTCTACATTCACTCAGCCAATCAGATTCTGCAATTTTGTTTCCATGAATATGGAAGGTGAAAGACCCTCCTATGCATCAGTTAACATCCCACTACTGAAATACTTGGCTCTTTTCATCTATAGAACTCAAAGCACATTACAAAGGAAAGTAACTTCAGAGCTGTGGGAAAAGAGGCACTGTTCCTTCCATGGCACTGTAATTCATTCTTGAAAGTAATCACCTTTTTGCTTTTGAGCCTGCACAAACTGAAGATGGGGCTTAAAAGGGGAAGTAGAGCAGTACAAAAAAGGGCAGGCAATGGAAGGGAGCAGACTGCTACCCTGAGCTCTGGCCAAGTACTGCCCAGGATCTCTTGTGGCTTGAAACCTGGAAAAACAGACCTGACAGGACCTACAAAGGAGAATTTTAGGAAGC